TAAAAAAATTGGCCGAGCCATTATCAACAGTGGTATCATCAATAATAAATAAACACTACAAGACTGGAACTTTTCCAGACATTTTAAAAATAGCTAGAGTCACACCTATTTTTAAAAAGGGCCAAACGACGGACGTAAACAATTATAGGCCAATCTCTGTCCTATCAGTCTTCTCAAAAATATTTGAAACAACGCTGAACAAACGACTCCTGCAGTTCTTACAAGAAAGCAACTTCATCTGTGAACAGCAACATGGTTTTCGTAGCAAGAAAAGCACCCTTACTGCTATAACAAACTTAATGGAAGACATATTTTTAAGTATTGATCAAAAGAAAACAACAATGATTATATTTCTTGACCTATGCAAAGCCTTCGACGTTGTAGATCATAAAATACTTCTTAGGAAACTACTATCAATTGGCATTCAGAATCAAGCTTTTAAAATATTTACAGTAAATGGGTAAATTGTTTCCTATTTTGGAGATAGCTAGTAAATAATTTACTGGCTGTCTCCAAAATGGGAAGCAATTTACCCAGATCTGTGATAAGAAAAGTGATACTAGTCTAGTGTGTTCTGGTGTCCCACAGGGATCGGTGCTTGGCCCTTTACTTTTCTCAATATATATAAATGATATAACTAACTGTGATATAAAAGGCTCTATGACACTATTCGCTGACGACACTGCACTATTCTATAGGGAAATTTTCGAAGATGCTCAAAGAGACCTTATTAAAATCTGTGATTGGACTAGTCAAAATAATATTAAGTTAAATGAAAATAAGTGCAATTATATAGTTTTTAAGAATACACACTCTTTACCAATAAGCCTAAGGATAAACAATACGCCAATAAGTGAAGTAAAACATGCTAATTACCTCGGACTCACTATAGACAATAAACTAAATTTTGAACAACACATACGTGAAGTTAAAAAAACCATCAACAATATGTGCTACTTTTTACGCAGAAATGTATTCCTAATGAATCAAAAAACCAAATTCCAGATCTACTATGCATATATTCATTCACACTTAACTTACCTCCCATGCATTTGGGGACAGGCCAGAAAATGTGATATTAAGGATTTACAAATTTGTCAAAATAAATCATTAAAAATAATATTTAATAAACCACCTATGGCAAACACAATAGAAATGTACAAAGAACTTACTTCAGATTCAGGAAATCATTAATCTAGACTCCATGATCTTAGTGTACAAAATAAAAAACAATATTTTAATTACCAAAATTAAGCTGCAGTTCGGTTCCAGCGCTCGAGACTCGCGTCACGCGACTCGCGTGCGGGAGAGCTCTTGAAACGTAAAAGTTTAAAGATGAAACCAACAATAATTTAAAAAAAAAGGGGTGCGAACTGATAAGTGAAACAAACATTTTCATGGAGTGCAAGCTAAAATGGTGTAACGGTCATTGAGGAGTGGAGTGTTGGGTGATATGAATGACTTGGGTGCCACCTGTCATTGGAGGCTTTTCACTGGACGGACGGGGGAGGTCGGAGAAGAGGGGAGGTGGCCATCCGCAAGGGAGAAATCTGATAAGTTTTACTTTTAGAGTATGCATGACCTGATACAAATCTGCAATATAAATACGGCAGATCCCAGCAAGCATTTTCCGTTATTTGTTACCATTAACATTGCCCGTATTCATTTCATTAAACATAACATTTATTTTACTTGAAAATGTTAAAATAACTTTAAAATATGATTATGTTAAGAACATATTTTACTCTTTAAACAATTGTTTTTAATTACTATCATTGCAAAATTGTATTAAAAAGTGTTAAAAATTCTTACACGGGCAATGTTAATGGTGATAGGTATCGTTAAAGTGTTTATTGGGATATCTTTAAAACCTATGAAGTGCACGCGGCGTGGGGCAATAAGTCTGTCAACAGCAAATGCGTAAGGCGGTCCCAATCGAGACCGAAAATAAACACTGGACTGACAGAGTAAACTAACATTGATCACATAATTCTAACACATTAAAAAAAAGGGCCTAATAGCCAAACTCGAGATTTGTAAACATTAGACAACAGAATAATCGCGCTTGTGATTTGTTTGACTAGTGAATAAATGCAATGCTTTGGAATTTGATAAACAAAGACGGAACTCTACCACAAAACGTGCTTGGGACAAAAATTATTAAAAACAACTGACACACTTTACCAAGGGCAGGAACTATCTGACCAGGACACGGACAATGACAATAACGAACAATACAAAGACCTCGACTAGGAAACTACACCCCTGCAGCGAAATAACAACTCCCCAACTCCAAATAGTAATCCCAAATGTTTGGAGTAATACTAATCGACTGGTCTAGGGGGATTCCGCGTCGTACTTAGTTTTAAGTCGGCGTAATTGTCCCCCAATAACCAACTCCCTCCTGTCCCCCATCCATACCCCACCGAGCGTATAGCATAGGCTCGGCGAACCCGGGAATGGCTATTATAACTATTCGCCTCTCGCTCTCAAGCCCCAAATAGGGGACAGTACGGAACGCAATGGACATTCGCACCCAGCAAACACGGGTGAAGCCGTGCAGTTGCTGGGGAAGAACAAAAATCGGCGTAAGTAAACATAGGCCTGTACGGGGTTCGAGAGTCAAGAGGAAATGGGGCTGGTTATACGTCTCTTATACTCATACTCATACTCATATATATATATTAGGTAGCATTTCTTTTCATTAATTGTCAATTTGTGTTTGTCCATTTTTGTATTGTTTTTATGTCTTCTTCTATTTTATTTTGTACTTCTTGATCTGTTCCCTCATAGAACATAGCTAGGTCATCTGCGTACATCATATATTTCCCATTTAATTTGTGTAGTATTAGGTAATTTATGTAGATGAGATAAGGAAAAGGCCCAAGTATTGATTCTTGAGGTACTCCACAAATTACTTTTAGGTTTTTACTTTTGTTTCCGTCAGTTGTTGTGTGCTGTTTTCTGTTTATTAGGTAATTTGAGAATGACTCGATTGCTTTCTTTTGGACTCTATGTCCACGGTATCAAAGGCTTTGCGATAGTCCATTGTAAGTCCAGTTATAGTCTTTCCCTCATCAAGTCTTTTGTGAATATGTTGTAATAGATTAACCATTGCTGTTGTACTTTTTTATTGAAACCCGTGTTGAGATTGAGATAGTAATGTAATGTTTTTAATATGTGTTGATGATAATCTATTGTGCAGTATAGTTTCAAAGATTTTGATAAAAACTGTCAAGTTTGAAATAAATCTGTAGTTGTTGGGTTCCATCCTACTTCCTTTTTTATGTGTAGGCGTTAGTCTTGCTATTTTCAATTCCTCCGGGAAGTTACCATTTTTTATATGTTTATTAATATTGGATATATGATTTTAGCTATTTTTTTATTAGTGTTGGTTTTATTTCGTCATATCCAGGTGATGCATATTTTTTTAATTTTTGTATTACTTTTTTAACCACTTTATTGTTTGTTGGTCGTATATATAGGAGCACACTTCTTGTATATTTCTTGTTTGATCAGATGGAACGCTGCGGCGGCACTTAAATGCTCAGAGAATTTATTTGAGCCGTAAAATTCATAAAAAGTAACATATAAGCTCAAATGAACAGGTTTATTTAAATTTGCAAATATTTATAGATAGTTATTAAAATAACTATTGATAGTTATCGATAGGTTTCCCATCCAATACAATATATAAGATGACGTGTTATATTTTTGTTTATGAGGGTTTAATAGTTATTTTCAGTTTACTTTTTCAATATTTATAATTGGATTTATCATTTATAATATTGATTTTAAACCTATTAAATATTCCCAGATAACATTTATGACTCATTAAAAAATCACTCAGTGATAATCATCGCGTGCTCACAGTGAACTCACTATGATATCAAATGCATTTCTGTGAAATCACCTGGACCTCACCTGGAGCTCATTAGCTGAATCATTGCTGAGCTCATCCTGAGTTCTTGATGAGATCATTTGTGAAATTAATTATTATTATTATATATATTATTATATATTAAGTATATGGGTTGGGTTGGTCTGTTTTAGGTCCTTAGAGTTCTGAAGAGAGTAATTACAATTGAATATTATGAAGACATTTTATTTTATTATTATATTGGTAACACTGGCTTACTGCAACTGCTACTCCTACTTTTTAGAACTATAAATCCAGCTTAAGTGACCTAAACCTGATATTTTGTTATGTTTAACTTTTAACAACTTTTTTTGCTAGATACTGAAACCAAAATTACATTTTAAGAGTTTTTGGAAAAAGTACTTTGTACTTGTAGGTACTTGTGAGTACTTTTGGATTTTTTGTACTTTGTACTGAAATACATTTTTTTCAAAGTACTTGTTCTTTTACTCGAGTACTTTTTTCTTGTACTCGGAACAGCTCTGCATGGTATATACCATAAGTGTTGCCAAGTTTTGGGAATGGATTTATCTTACCAAGGCTTAAAAATTGTCGTATTTTTAAATATATTTTTATAATTAATTTATGAATTATACTTAGCACGTGCTAGGTAAATATATACATGTATAAAGTTACTTTTTTAAATTTTATTAAAAACATGTTTTAAATATTTTTTATTTTATTTAAGAAAATAAATATTTATTTTAATTAATTTTAGCATTTTTAGTCCCTTAAGTAAAATCATTAATGACATCCCTTTGATTTCATAATAAATTCATCGTATAACTCATTAAGGATCTCACGTTGCTCATCAAAAGTGCAACACTTATGCGCGCCACAGTGACATCACTGAATGAATCAGCAATGATTTCACGTTGATGTCCTAACGAATTCATCGTGTGACTCATTAAGGATATCATGTTGCTCATCAAAAGGGGAACACATATGCGTACCTCAGTGACATCACTGAATGAATCAGCAATGATTTCACGTTGATGTCTTAAATGATGTCATAATTGTTATCTGGGTTAGGACACCATTATAAATTCACTTATGGAATAGACTATTTCTTTAAAATTACCTGGATCTTTGTGAAAATTTTCCAGATTTAAATATTTTGTAGGAGTACAAAATCTCTTCTCTAAAACTGTGGATATATTTGATGAAACATTAATTTTTACATCTTTGGTCGTGGAAAACTTTATTTCTATTGAAAGTTTAAGCTAAAATAAAAATATTATATTGTATACATACATGGAGTCCCAAAAGTAGAGATGTAAAGTTTTGGAGTTATCGGCTTCTAATGTTTTGGAAATCGAGTGATTTTGATCCCGTTTTAAAATCTTCAAATGAGAAAACCTATAATACTTATAGGAGTGGAATTTATACCACTCTTTTCAGGATTTTACAAGCTTTAATATGATATGCAACTTGACTACATTTAAAAAACTATTTTTTTTAACACTAGTTTTTTGTAAAATCTTAAAATCGAAAATTTTAATTTTTTTCTAAAAAATAAATTTTATTTATAACGCTTTGAGGAGCATGTGTACCAAATTTGAACATGGGATGACGATGGAATCAAGCTGTTATAAATAATTGTATATAGAGGGACATGGTAAATATACCCAGAATGAGGTGTAATTTTGCCTTAGTGCAAAATACAAAGGAGTTTATAGTAAGCTCAATGTATAATTTTTAGTAAGTTTACAAGTGTACAAGTTTACAGTACAGTTTTAGATAACTAAGTAAATATATAGTAAGCCCAAAGTACTATTTTGGAGGCTTTTAAAGAGAAGCTCTTGTTACTGTTAACAGAATATTATATGCCTTTTTAAATTTCTTCCAGTTGCAGTTGATGAAATCACCTTGGGAGTTATTGGGAAGCTATAATACAAGGTGTCCCTAAACTTAGTGGCATAAATTTAGGAGCAGATTAAGCAAGTCAAAATAAGACGAAAATCTAAATAAATATTTTTCCTAATTACGTATGTTTAAAAGATACAGGGTGATAAAGTGTTACTTATCATATCAGTTTTTTTTAATATAACTTCTACTATGGTAGACTTGGAAAGGTGATATTTTGCGAACAGTCACTTACTACCAAAACACATATTCACACATAATTACAATTGTTTGAGTGAACACAGTGTCGTAGAAACAGGGGTTGCTTAACCTTATTGTCCCATACAAACTTTGAGGTTAGGTTTTTATACCATTTGATGCAATTTTTCTATTACTCAGTTCGGCTACTATTAAACAGGTGTACCTCTCAAAACTTCGATAAAATTAACTGTTCTCGAGATATTCGAGATTACAATAATTGTTATATCGCATTAAAGGACTAAAAGTTATATGATAAAAAAAAAATTTATTGAAAAAACTACATTTTTTTTAATGTAACGGTCAGGGCAAAAAGTCCCGAGGCCCATGGAATGCCCTTTTTAGTTTTTTCAATTAAAAAATAAAATTTGTTATCATATACCTTTTAATCCTTTTAAATAATGCGATATAACAATTATTGTAATCTCAAATATCTCGGAAACGGTTTATTTTATCGAAGTTTGAGAGGTACACCTTTTTAATGGTAGCCGTAACTGTTTAATCGATAAATTGCATCAAATGTTACAAAAACCTAACCTCAAAGTTTGTATGGGACAATAAGCTTAAAGCAACCCCCGTTTCTACGACACTGTGTTCACTCAAACAATTGTAATTATGTGTGAATATGTGTTTTGGTAGTAAGTGACTGTTCGCAAAATATCACCTTTCCAAGTCTACCATAGTAGAAGTTATATTAAAAAACTAATATAATAAGTAACACTTTATCACCCTGTAACTTTTAAACATACGTAATTAGGAAAAATATTTATTTAGATTTTCGTCTTATTTTGACTTGCTTAATCTGCTCCTAAATTTATGCCACTAAGTTTAGGGACACCTTGTATATCCGCTCTTTTTTCGTAAGTAAATACAGGAGATGGCCTATGTGGATGAACGATGAAACGATAACTTCTTGCTCTGTATACTTTTTTAAGATAACACCAGCCAACCAGCAATTGTTATCATTTATACAAGTTACAAAACCTGCTATTTGATCAAAAGGCACATCTTCAGTGTCATCTCCTACCCGAATCTTATTTGCTTTGGGGTATGAACGCATGGCACGTTTGTGGACCAGTGACTACAATGGCATCGTTAAATCTTTCTTCCCAGACTTTTTCTTCTTTTGAATAGTTTAGTACACACAAAAATTTCACTGACAAGATAATCTCTTTCCCCCAATTTGGTTAGACGTCAAGATTTTGCTGACTTTAGCTGCAAGCCTTTTTACTGTACCACCAACACCATCACATACTCCCTTTCCATGTGATGTGGCATATATGTAAGTGCCATTCTGCTTGTATTCCATTAAAATTCTCTTTTTAACAAATTTGGTATAATCTCATATTTTATATACAAATATTAGACAGTCGGATATAAATACAACACTTTTGTATTTTGGGGCTTCCTGATGATTTGTTTCATATTTTGCCTTGAAATATACAGGGTGTCTCAAAAGTCAAGGACAGCAGAAAATGGGTGGATAGAGGATGGGATTCTAAGTCGAATAGTCTTTGCCGTTTTTTAATCAGACGCACCATTAATTAGTTATTAAGAAGTAGCCAATCACAGGCGTGCTCTAGCAGAATGATTAGAGCTGGGATAACACGGTCTTTTGCTATTCCATAGCTATGAACGTATCATATTGTAAAATGACCCTGGTGCTGCTGAACGCGTTGGCCGTCCACGAACAGCTCGCAGCCTTCATAATGAAGAACGCGTTTTTGAGGCCATTGCAGCTGACCCGGGAAATAGCGCTAGCCAACTTAGCGTGGCTTAGAGATCTTCCGCAGCACCGTCAACCTCATAACTAAGGACAACGCACTTCATCCCTACCACGCGACCAAGGTACAACATCTAGAACTTGGAGATTACGAAATGAGAAGAGAGTTGCAATCGTATTCTAAATATACCCGAACTTTCTGAGGCATGTATTTTGGACTGACGAATTACCCTTCACTCGTGAGGGATTTTTTATTCTCCATAATGTGAGTGCGCGAATGAAAACCCACATTTTAAAAGGGTGCAAAAGTTTCCAGCACAGGTGGGAAATTAATATATGCGGCGGTATTATCGGAGACACCGTTCTTTTATATCAGTTACCAAAAACGCTAAACGTAAGTTAAAAAAATGATCAATTTATCTTTACATGAGTTGATCATAAAAATTTTTGATTATTTATTAAAAAAACTCGTACTTGGAATTTTTGCAAGAGGTTCTTCCAGGGTTGCTTGAAGAAGTTCCAGTTGGAGAGCGTCCTTAGTACTTCCAGCATGATGGTGCATCGGATCCGGTCGCGTCCGAGATCACCTAAATTCTGGGTACCCCTAACGCTGGTTTGGGAGAAACGGCCCGTTTCGGTGGCTCCCAAGATCACTAAACTTAACACCTCTGGATTTTTCTTGTGAGAATACATGAAGGGCATCGTTCACAAAACCGTGCCCGAGGATTAGCTCGATACTCTGAAGCGAATTCAATTGTCGCAAGCCGACATAACACCAGAAATGATGGAGAACTTAACGAACGTTGTGAAATGTGCTTGCAGAGAAATGGAGGGACATTTAAGCATCTAATAAGATAAAAACAGGTCGAAGTCTATTTAAAACACGGCCCTTTTTAGGGCCACCAATTTTCCCTAAAAAGAAAATGTCTCAAGTTAAAACTAACCCAAAAACTTTATTTTAATAAAAACTAATTAATGGTGCGTCTGATCGAAAAACGGCAAAGACTTGAAATTCCATTCTCTATCCACCTCTTTTCTGCTGTCCTTGACTTTTTAAACACACTATATAACACATGGATGCACCGTAGTGAAACCCTTGAGCTTCATCTTGTAGCACAAATGAATAGTTCTCGAAAGAATTAGCAAAGTCACACTGAACTACAACTTCATTTTCTATGACTGTTGTTTGGCATCCCTGCTTAAAATACCCCATAGAGACCCTGTTCAAACCGATAGATATTTGTATCGGGATTTATGGTGTTTCTATAGGGTGTATCGGTTTGTATAGGACCCATAGTTGAGATTTATGGTTGTTCTATAGGGATATCCACCCTTGATTTATTTGCTATCGGTTTCAATGGGGAAAATACACATAAATGTAGAAATTAGTTTTTCCCCTATAGGACCCCATAGGTTTTAATTAAATTATGTCAAATGTTTTATGGTTGCTCTATAGGGATATCCCTATACATCCTTCATTGAGTTATTTGCTATCGGTCTCAATAGGGAAAATGTAAAAGTTATGGTGTTCCTATAGGTAATTTCCTATACATTTTCTATCGGGCCCTATCCGGAAAAAACCATGGACAAATGCACATATTGAATCCGGTAGCGCCCGATAGATTATTTTGTATAGGTCTCTATGGGGTATTTTAAGCAGGGATGGCTTTTTATCTTTACTAATTGGTTGCCAAAGCAGGGCAATGTCCTCTTTTTTAATCATGGTCTCAAAGGTACACTGATCAACGGTAATCCATTGTTTATAAGTAATATTAATTACCATTTTTTCTTCTAAGGCTGCGAGTAAAATTTAATAATTTTTAAAGATGCTTATGTTTGAACAAAAATCACATTCATTCAAAAGACATAATTTGGTAGTTGGGTTGCACATTATTTTAGAATTACCATGTTTGGATGCTTAAGCTGATCTGAATCGGTCAAAGTGATTTTGAGCAAGTTTGCCCCAGACATCATCAATTAAAAAGTCGAAAATCTACGAAATAAACTGCCAAGATTGTGACAAGAAATATGTTGGACAAACTAAAAGATCCATCCAAGTAAGGTTCAAAAAGCACTTGGCCTATGCTAGATTTGGTAGGAGAGTCATTCCATGAAATTTCACCCAATGACAAAAGCTCGACATCTCAGATTAAACTGAAAGTTTTAGGATTTGAAGATAAATGCTTATGATGAACTAAAATCACAATAATATTTTTAAATTTAAACACCCTGAGAAATTAGGCGAGGCCATGTTGACCGGTTTGCATAAAATATTACCAAATCGGTTTACAAGAAATCCTTTTGTAACTTTTTTATTTATTAATATTTATTATCGCTTAATATTTTGTTTTAATCATAAAACAATGAATTTTTAATATATATACCTAAAATTTTACA